GATGTGATTAATAGTCTATGGTTAGGGTAAGATGTTATCATGAACGGAGATGAAAGGGCTTTTCCAACACGGAGATGTAGCATGGATCAAAGCATTTGTTGGATTTCAGCTTTTACAAGCGGACATCAACGCAGTAGTATTTTAGCAAGCTTACGAACGCATATAGGATACCATCAGGATTGTCATTGGTAAGTTGAAGAGGAGATACTTTTACGATGTAAATGACAGTAGAAATAAGTCCTACTTTGTTGTACTTCGTATTGGTTTAATATTCATGTAGAGTATGAGACATTAAGTGAAAGTTTTCTGAGGTACATCTGCAATTGTCGGAAGGCAAAAATAATTAAAAATAATTAATAACAACGAGCTTTGCAGCGCGTCGCTTTCATCCTAGACCAGGATTTATTTAGCGAGAAAAAACTCACGCTGCCGGGACGCGCGCTATGTAACCGGCTGACTAAAATGAAAAGACGTCGCAGTCCCGGTCGCAATCGCAGCCGTAGTGGCAACGTCAGTAAAAGCAAGGTCTCGGGAGCGGGCCGAAATTCTAAAAATACGCTAAATTCGAATGCCAACATTGATTTCACTATGCATACTTTTTCACAGAGAAACACATCATCACAGCACGCACCCTCGCCCGAACCTATGGAGCCATTGCCTGTTCCAAAGAACGGAGGGCTGCAAAAGGGGCGGTATTTCAAGCCAAGCCGAAGCCAGGATGTCGTGGTAGATTGCCACAAATAGCTACATCAATCTCGTATATTCCCAGGATCCAGCAGTAGACCGTCTTCAGCTCGTACACTGCAAGCAGCGGTGCAGACGAGTCAAGAACTAGTCTACACGGTTTTCACAGCAGAACCTTTCCGCGGAGCTTTTTTCCTTTTCGAATTTTTCACTGAGCTGCTGTGTTTGCCTTCGGCCGAGTCTTGAAGCTCTGATTTTTTCAGTTTTTTTTTTTGCTCTCGGTCGTGGGGGGGTGGTCGGCACGGAAATTACTATCCAGATCCAAGCGGCCTTCTTATTTTTGGGGCCGTTTTATTCACAGCGATTTTGCTTCCAAATTTTCACAATTTCCAATATCCGAGTCCGTCCATTCTTAGACCATTGCATCTCGATTTCGCAGCCTAGGAAAAAAGTTGGAATTTCGGAATTTGGAAACTACTTGACACCGAACACCTTACCACGGGGAGGAGCTGAGCGTTTTTTCGGGAGAGAAAAGTTTGCTAAGTGGTTTATTCGTAGCACGTTTCTTTGACGGAGGTTTGGTCTCCTCCGTAGCATGGACCGCGCGAAGCTGATGCCCTTTCAAAAAATAGTGCGCATGGTGAGAAAACATGGCCAAAATCATTCGGATATCCGTACGTATTGACGGAGTACCTGCGATTTCGTGCTAGACGTCGGGTTTGTTTTGGTATCATCAATCGAAAATTGATTGTCTGGACGGTAGGGGCTGTGTGTGGAGGTCGCCCCGTGACGCGAGAACCGCCCAAAAGAACGAAAATGTGAATCAGTTTGTGTGTAGGCGTCAGGTGAAGGGATCGTTGCCCACATGGATATTCCTCCTCCACCTATTCTTTCCTGCGACCTGTACCAAACAACAGCATTAACTCATCACTACTTGCCTCTCTCTCTTGTGGGAACTCGTCATGCCAGTGTTAGGTAACACCAGGCGTCTCCAAGTCTCATTTATTATTCACTACGCCCAGATGCTGACGCCCCTGCTACACTCAGTCAGATTCGAACGCGGGAACCACTTGCTCTCCCGCACGAACAGCTCGGACAGTTGCAGCTTTAGTCTTCCCAACAGAAGATGCATGAATTGTCGTACGTGCTTCATCATCTCCGGAATAAGATCGGGCTTCGACGTATGATGACATAACCATCCCGACTCGGTCGGGCGTCGTTGCCTGCCAACGATGGTTTTCCACGAACCCGAGCCATGCAACCCCCCTCCCTCCCATTGGCAACTAGTGCTGTCAATTGTCCATGCAAAGGTGTACGTACGTAGTGTGTGTATGGAGGGGGGGGCGCAGGAGCGCACGATTTTTATTTTTTCACGTTATTACACGTGGGTGTGTACATATGCGGAAGCCCGTGCACTCACATGTTTTATATAGGACTAGCGCCGCGCAAAACCCGTGACCCCGTGGTAAAAACCGAGTTTGTATTGCGGTTGTAACAGAGGAATTTGCGGTTTTGATCGTGGTTACCTAATGCGACAGAGTAGCTCAATACGCTCCGTGAAAAAACTACTTGAGCGTATTGTTAGGAAACCTCACGTAGGGACGCGGAGCGGTTAGTTCGTGGACAATTTACTCACGGGGTGGAGAGTTGTTGTTGCTCATATCACGGAAGGGTTTCGTTTCATTGGAAAATCTCACGGACCGGAGCAGTTCAAACCGCTTCGCTCCGCCCCGCTCTGTAGAGAAAAACGTTCCGCGAACAACCCTGCACAATAGTATTGGCTACTGCACGTACACATCAAGGTCCACACATACCCTTGCCCGAACCTATGTAGGTAGGTGTGTGCTGGTGAGTTTGTGCACCTGGCGTGCTTGTGTGATTGTGTGATTTGTATGGGGAATCAGGAGCTCGAGCGAGCCAGCCCGGCGCACATCAGGGGGGAACAGAGAAGTACAGAGAAGTGCATACACCAGCAATGGGTCTTCAAGCCTTTCGCAGGTCATTTGATTGATGATGTTGAACTGAAAATAGAGTGGCTAGGCAGCTTGACGACTGATCATTTCAAGGTCTACAAGGCTAACCTGCCCTAGCGGCCGCAGCGCGACCATTCATCCACCCTTCTTTGACTCTGTGACCTCCACCCTATCGCGGGTTGCCCGCATGGCCTATATATACAATACATCCCCTGTAGTTCTCTACTGGGTCAACGGCTAAAGTATCGGGGAGAATTCCTCCGTTGTGTCGTTCGCCATAAAATCAAACCTTCACGGGGAACACAGCGCAGCGTCATTGTGACAACTTGCTAGTTTTTAGATGACAAGATTTCAGGAATATTGTTGTAGGTAGAACAAATACACAGAATTTTATTTAGGAAAATATGTACACGCGGAAAGACTACCCGCATAAAAAATCATGCAAGAGACACTACTCTTGTATAAGCACACCGACCACTGCCTAGACTCCTAGTGCTCTGAGGTTAAGCAAGCAGCGGAAACGGCCTCAACAGCACAAGAAAGATGAATAGTATCGTACTCCAGCCTAGAGCTCCCGTGACCCGACGGCACCAACTAAACTTCTTCGAACTCGCGACGAACCTCCCGACCCACCAGGAACTGGAACTGATTCGAAATACGCTCCGCGAATGTGGCCGCCAAATTAGATTTCGTGCGGAAGTGGCCAACACCATGAACTTGACGAGGCTCCTATGCTCCGGCTGCCGGATGTTGCACTTCGCGGGCCAGGGCAACGACAAATACCTGGCCTTCGAATCCGGGCGTGATTGGAACTGCGGGATTATGGAGCCTCTTGAGGTCGGATGTTAATTGGTGATTCATGGGGGGGGGTGTACTCATTGTCGTGCATGCCGTAGTCGTTAGACCATTGACCTCGCATCCCTACAAAGCCGGGACGGAGCACGCCGGGTTCTCACCGGACCAGGCTCTCACATCACCAAGCGCGAAGCGCCGTGAGATATTCGGCGAGTCGCATGAAGGGTGCGCTGCATCCTGCTAAGGGTGTTCGGCATCTTGTGCTTACTTCCTTGCGTACGGATGACAGCTGCGTATGAATTTGTTTATTTGCTGGTCCTTTCGCTTCCTGAGACAGCTGAAAGCACTGTGTAACTGCCTCGAGGGTGCTTGACCATTATAACGCAACGTGGTGCGATCATCCCCCTTACGCGGAGTGAGGGTTCTCCGCCCCGCACAACATGATCTACTCGACCACCATTATGGTTACCGCAAAAAGAAAAAACAGAGGTAAAAAAAAATAAACGGTAGCCTGGTTGCCGAGTTCCCGAAGTGAATTGGCTTGTTTTACAACGTCGTTGCCGAGCGGCGAAACTCCAATCCCGATGGCAAACACCAAGGGGGGGGCTTGTTTTACAACGTCGTTGCCAAGCGACGAAAACCCAACCCCGATGGCAAACACCGGGGGGGGCGGATTCATGGGGCTTTTTATCGTTGCACGTTGTTCGGCGTCGTTGTTCTCTCCCGTTTGTGCAGAATAATCATAGCAAAGCGCCACGCAACCGCACCAGACATGTTCATTTTGCGCTGCCCTCAATATTAAGCAAATATCACGCTAAACAGGTGGCGTCTCTAAAGAACCTCTTTCAGGCTGGCGGGGTGCGGACGGAGCTAGTGTTCATCAGCTCGTGTTCCTCGGAGATGAGTGGTAGAGCCTGCGTGGAGGCTGGCGTGCCGCACGTCGTCGCCGTCAAGCACGAAGCGAACGTGACAGGTTAGCTGTTGGCTCACAAATTACGGCGTACGGTCCATAAGCAACCACAGCAGTCGGTAGAAGGTCCTTTGGCAGATATGGACCCGAGATGAAGAGGTGGAGGCAATGTGCAACAAATTGGCGTGACAATACTGCAGATTCCTTCTCTTCTCTCCCGATATCATGTTGTGTCTAAAACGAGCACCAGAACAGAAGCATTTTTTCGAACCCCTCCCCTCGCATGACCTCGTGAATGCGCCTTGTCGCCCTTGCGTTCTCCGCTGCCGCTGGGTTTTGTGGTCAGATCTTTCAACGACGCACCCTCCCTGACACTAGCCTTGTCTGTTTTTTCGTCCGTCCTGTATATCATCTAATCTTTTTTCAGACGAAGAGGCCCTGCACTTCTCCACCGTCTTCTACGATGCGCTCTTGGAGAACGGTGGGAGATACACGGTGAAGCAGGCATTCGACATCGCCCTCAACTTCGTCAATGCCACACACTCTAGCGCACCCAACAGACACGCGGGGGGCCACTTTGTCCTTCTCCCCAAAGGCAAGAAGAAGGTTTGGACTACCGCAGAATCTTCAAAGAGAGGCTATTTCCCCGCACCTGCGGTTCCCGGCGCAGGACCCGAAGACCAGTCACTCGTGGTTCAGCGTTGTTGTTGTCGTTTGTGTAACAGAAATTTCCAGCAACTTTCTCAGAGTATTGACTTCGCGCTCTATATCAAGTGATCAACACGAGGTAGACAATCATATTTTCCGATCTCGTGTTGTTTGTGCTTTGTTGGAATGTTTCCGAAAGGGTCGCCGTTGAGCTGTGTACCTCGGATGATCAACTTGTTTATTCGTCGACAGCAGCACGTATGGAGTAACCACCGGCCCCCCGCACTTCCACCCGCTGTTCGCGTGCATGCAGGCGGGAACCACGATATCAGAATATTTGAAACGCTTCCGGAAGGGCAACTGGTAGACGAAACCCACCCCCCGACCCCCCGACCCCCCTGCAAGAAGGCAGTACCATCCTTTAAGGGTCTGGCGGGGGTCCAGGTTCGTGGTGCTTGGTGCAACTTGTGGCCTTGCCGTGTTGTTCCTCCATGCTTGCCGTCAACAGCTTCTGAGAACGTTGTGCGAAGGGCTGCGGTATTCGGAGCTACCCGTGCTTCCCGAAGACGCCGACGATTGCCCCTGGAACACCCGAGCCAACCCGCCAGCTTGCTGTCTTCCACCTCACCCCTCCCATTTGTCCCAAAGCTATTCTTGTGTAGCCGTAAAATCACACCGATTACGCAAATCCCTAGGTGCACGTGTAGGGTCAAAATACCGCAGTCTCGAAGGGCGGCGACCAAACCAAGAACAATCGACCGAAACCCACGCATCAACCATGTCTCAAATCACGCAGCAAGTGGTCAGGTTGCTGCTGAACCCACAAGCGGCGTGCGTAACCGTCACTGGCGAGCACGGGTCCGGCAAAACGGAGCGGGCCATCCAGGCCTGCGACTACGTGAGGGAGAGGCACCACTTCGATTCCTTCCTGTGGGCGGACTGCGACAAGGCCGCCTTCAATTCCTGCTCCGACAAGTCCTCCGGCCACCCGTTTTTCGCCCTCCAAAACTGTCTGAACGATTCTGCCTGGGAAGACCCCTGCCGGCTGGTGAGGCCCGCATGAGAGGGGGGATGGGGGTACAGGCATCGTGTTTTCGGTGATAATTTTGCATTAATTCTTTTGTTGGAGGGTCGTTCGAACGGCTGTGCCGATGGGACTTGTCATATTGTCTGCGGCATCCGCTGATCGTTCGTTCGCAGGGAACTCATTGGAGGGAGGACGTTCATGATGTTTGTTCATTTCGTGGGGTTGTTGATCGGTATCACCTGCTGTGCAGCTTGATGATCATCCTCCATCGTTTTGGGCGTTGCCTTGCTTATGGTTCTCGATTCTCGACGCCGCCTCGGGGGTGTCTAGACGGGGATGGGAAGTACGCAAGCAGGACTTCGCGAGAACGGCAGGGGAGAAGAGAGAGAACGAGAGAGAGTGCGAGAGAGAGAGAACGAGAGCGAGAGAGTGTTAGAGAAAGAGAACGAGAGGTGGAGAGAGAGAGAGAGAGAGAGAGAGAGAGAGAGAGAGAGAGAGAG